AGCATGAAGATGGCAAGTATAGAAATGATAGAAGAATCATAGATAATCAAATATGAAGACTTGATTAAATCATCGAAGTCTTCAAGTGGGAGAATGTGAAACCACCCTAACATTGTTGACAAAGTCAACAATGTTTTGTCAACAATGTTAGGCACCAATTTGTCAACAATGTTAGGCACAAATTTGGTGCCATCTACCTTGCCCTTGTCTTTTGCATGTATGTTTACCTATAAATAGGCAATGCATCCAAGCATTATAAACACACCACAAGAGAGAAAATTGAGAGCAAGTAGAGAGAAAGAAGAGAGGGTGAAGAGAAAGTATTCCACAAAATTGTGAGGTATTTGTGAGATAGTAAGTGAGGTGTTTTCTCCTATTAGTAGAGAGATTTTAATTGTTCTCCTATTAGTAGAGAGAGGTTGTAATTCCCGCATTACTTAGTAAATTTCTTCTATACTTGCCTGTTGACGTAGCCAAATTGGGTGAACCACGTAAATTCTTATATATCATTTTTTATTTTATCAGGTTTGCATGCCAATATCCCAAGAATACTCTTATTTTATCTTATCCCTTACTTTTTATTTTATCGGGTTTGCATGCCAATATCCTAACAGTATTTACACTTGACGATTAGTAGAGCCAGTATTGTTTCGGAGACAGAATGTGACTTCTTGCAAATTATTAGTAATGTAATAATTACCAAAGATAAAAAAAGGTGACGTGTAAAGGAAAAGGAGAAGGAAATTTCTTTATAGATCTTGCTTGAGCATCTAAAAGTTTTCTTGAGAACTAAAGCAGTGTAAAAGCAGGTGTATGGTCTATTTTGTCAACTGGGTTGGGGATGTTTTGACAGCATCAGAGTCAAATGGAACGATATTGCACACGGCAAATTAATAAGACCTTTATCATGCAATATATCGGCTGTCTCCATCTCTCAGCCGTGATCGGGTCTAATCCGATACTCTCAAAATCAAATGGTATAAATTTCCACGAACCTTTTTTCAAAGCTTGGGAGCTTTTTTCCCAAGGAAGACTTTGACAGGGCGTCAACTGAACCTTCTGTCTTTACTTTTGATTAAGAAGTTAGACTTCCCAGTAATATATTTACAGATATTCTGATGCCATGTTTCTATAATATACTTATATATGTACCGAAAGATTTCTTTTTATCTTGTTTTCCAAAAGACTTTTTTTTTCGTTTCCCTGTTTTTATTATCGTTTTTGAAAAGGTTTTCCAAGAGATTAATATCTGCAGTTTTTTTTCCTTTCTTATAGTAATCGAGATATAGAGTGTGCAGTTATCTCTTTCATAATTGATTACTTGCTTTGATTCATAGCAAGCTTTTTGAGAGAATCAATCATGAAAGTAAATTGATGAAAAAATATGTTTCTCTTATATCTGTGACGTGATGGAAGAAAACATACAGTTATGGTACAGAGAAACCAATTTTCTGAATATACTTTTTATATATCTCATGTACATGCGATTATCAAATAAAAAACTACTTAAAATTGACCAATAGCATTTTAACATTAATATTTGTTAAACCATTTAAGAAGTCGTCATAATTCTCTCATTTGACTCGAATAATATTATCTTTTTTCATCATTTATTAAATATATTAATATAAAGCCCATAAAACAACTCTAAAACCATATGCTATAATCCATTTTCAGATTATTATCTAAAATTTACTTTTTTCCTTAAAAAAATAATAAAAAAAAAACAAAAACAAAAGTCATAATAACAAGAAAACTGAAAATGTGGCAAACGCTAGTTGAACAAGATCTAGGTACATACAGAAAAATTGGGCTAAACGTTATAACAAAATTTATAGTATAATTATACCTCGTTGCAATCTTACCTAAGACTGCAAAGACAATTTAAATTAAAGATCAAATTAAATTATTATTAGACATATCTGCATAAAAATTAAGTTTAAAGATATTATTAAATTTTTAATAGGCGAATTTGATTTAATAATGGATCAAATTAAAGTTTAATTATTTTTAAAAGACCAAACTTAATTTTTACAAAGTTAATTGATTGAAATCAAAGGTAAAATCACAAGAAAATCAAAGTTTAGGGTCAATTAAGGGTCAAATTGAACAAATTTATAGCCAAGTACCTTTTTAAAACAGGTGTTAGACTTTAGGGACTTAATTTGGTTGAAGAAAGATGTGAAATTAAAAGTTTAATAGTTAATTGAGGCTCAATTTTCTTAAATTTACAACTAAGGAGCATAATGAAAAAGACATTAAAATTTTGTAGGGTCAAAATTGCATAAAATCAAAAAGCCAAGGGACTAAATTAAACTTTATCAAATCCCTAAATTAAAACCCTAAAAGTCCAAACAATACCATTTCATTTAAGTGAAACAACATGTATTGACCAAAACAGCGACCTAACACCCCTGTAACCTCATCTTCTCACTAGCAGCAGTAATAACAACCACCATCGTCAATTTCTTCTTTTTCCTCTTTACTGTTGTTTTTTCTTCCTCCTCCACATAGTAGCCCTTTGTTGCCTTCTACCAATGTAAACCTCAAGGATGAACTTTTACAAAAAAAAGAAAAAGAAAAAGAAAGAACTTTAAATTAACCCTATGATGAAGAAGGTGGGGTTAAATGTATGAAAAAACCAAATAAATTTAGTTGTTAAGGGGGGATTTTAAAAGATAAAAAGGAGTACCACTCAAATTATACAAGGAAGGAAGAATAGGGCCAAAGCTTAATTTAAAAAAAATGGGACTATAAATACCCCATTTTCTCCTCCATGAAGTCGACAACAATGAGATAAATAGGAGGGGGATTTCAAATTTGTTCCACCAAAATTTGAGAGAAAAACACCAAAATTGTTAAATCTATACAAGTTCTAGATTACTAGGTAAAGAAAACATCCTTTAGCAAGGAAATTAGCAAAAAAACAAGTGAAGAAATTGTAAGGGAAATAAAGGGAAAGGGTCGACTGCATGTAAGGAGGGAGGAGTTAAAAAATTTCAACTAATTTAGAATTAAAATCCAAATTTCATCCAAGTAAAGTGCCTTAAACCTAATTGTGAAGACCATTTTAAATTCAATTAGGAATTGTGCATCAATCTTGAAATTGAAAATGAGGGTTCTTGAGTTAAATTTAGGGGAATTGTAGAAATTGAGTTAGTTGAAGTATTATAAGTTTCCTTAAACATGAAATCATGTAAAAATACCAAAGAAAAATCAATGGCCAAACGAACAAGAGTGGTCGGCCATTAAGGGGTTGAATAGAAGGAAAAGAAAATTTGATTTTATTGGTAAAATCCTTGTAATGTGTTGTTATAATGTGAACAATGACTAAATAAGATAAATAATTGCATAAGAAGGAGAAGGAAACCTTTGGTTCCCTTACACCAAGGTTTGGCCAAGGCTAAATTGAAGAGGGGGAATAACAGTTTTGAGATTTCATATGGTAATGATGAGTGAATTGGGTGTGGTAAGAAGTTTACTAATAAGGGAATCATGATACTTAATAGTAGGGAACTTCATCGAATACATCTGTTACGCGAGGTAGATGACGTTTTCTTCATATGTATAGCCTGTCGTATGTGCTCGCGCGTTGTCGATGATGTTTTCTTTATTTGTTCAATTGATTTGAGGAGTCGCCACCTAGTATTTGGTTTAGGGTTACTAGAAAACCCAAATGTATTAGTCTTTGTCAGAGATTCACGGGTAAGGGACTGGTTATAGCTAGAGAAGATATTAGCACACCTAGCACACCCTACATGAGATAAGCTGCTTCATGGTTTGATGTGATCTAAAGGTTTTGAAAGTTGTCTTATCAATGACTTAATAAAAAGAGGAAAATTTATCCTTAGTAAGAAGATTCTTATCTTATCAAGTAAAGAAAAAATAATTGCTCTAACATCAATAAAAACAAAACAAACTTTTCTATTTAATATCAAGAATATGTCTTACATATAAGATCATAATCCTGGATACCAAAAAAAAAACAAAATATATTTTGGTATTTTTTGAAATATAGATCAAATTCTCAAGGCTTTAATGAACTAGTCATTAAATCCTAAAATATATACAAAAACATATTCTTAATTTTTAATGTAAAATACAATACGATTTTCTTTGCACTTTTAAGACACTTGGCCATATGCAAATTAAAACATATAATTCTTTTTTTTAAAAAAAAAATTTGTCTTGGTTTTTATCATTAAAAAACATACATAAAAGAAAATATGAACACCCACTCATTACTTTTCACTATTTTTACTCACAAACACATAATTACATATTACAAAATAAATCAAACAACATATTATACAATTCAGAAATTACAAAATGGACCCCCCTAAAATCAATAACAGTGCTAGGAAGCCCTTTGAGGTTGCAGGAATAGTAGCGGCGCATTGCTCCACACGCCACTGTCATTGGCGGCATGTGGGTTCACTCGTCGTCGATGGTGAAGGCAACAAAATCGGTGGATCAAGAACGTGTTCTTCTTTATCTTCCTATGCCGGTGGTGAACTGCAAAAACAACCAAAAACACAACAAATAGTTGATTTTAATTTTTCTTTCTTTTTCATATCTGTTCTCAGTCTTCCCCTTTTTTAGATCTGTTTTTCCCCCTTTTTAATCTACTTCTCTCTCTACAGATCTGCCCTTTTTTTGTTTTTCCTTCTTCTTTGTTTCTAGTAACTAGCAGAAAGACCAAGAGGTTGTCGCCGATTGTGCTTTTATCGTGTTTGGTCGGCAGAGATAGAGGAGAAATGAGTGGTGTCTAGTTGGAAATGGGGTTAGATCTGTGGGTGTTGTTGTGTGTGGGCTACTACTGGAGGGTTTGATTCTGGTCTTGGCAAGCTGGCTGGTGATGGTGAAGAAGGAGGAACGACTAAGAGAGTGAGGGAGTCAGGAGGGAATGGCTCTGCCCTCTTTTTGGTCTTAGCAAGCTAGCGGCTGGTTCATGAGAAGTGGTTGGTGGGTCTGTCGGGTGGAGCTAGAAATGGCTGAGAGAGGAGGGGAGGGTACTTCGGGTGCAGGGGAAGAATGGTTGGGAGAAAGAAAACCAAAAGCCACCGAGGGCGACGACTTGTGTTGGTAAAGATAGGTTTAGTTTTAGGGTTTTCTTGTGTTTTCCTACTTTTTCAAAATTGTCCCCCCTTTTTTGTGCGTGTTGGAGATTTTTATTTATAGATAAAATGTTGTTTGGTCCTGAGAGAGGAGGGGAGGGTACTTCGGGTGCAGGGGAAGAATGGTTGGGAAAAAGAAAACCAAAAGCTACCGAGGGCGACGACTTGTGTTGGTAAAGATAGGTTTAGTTTTAGGGTTTTCTTGTGTTTTCCTACTTTTTCAAAATTGTCCCTCCTCTTTTGTGCGTGTTGGAGACTTTTTGGTCTATTTATAGGCAAAATGTTGTTTGGTCCCCAAACATGGTCCCTCAACATCTTTCTTTTTTTGTAAATTTTAATTTTTCTTATTTTTTTGTATTTTAATTTTTTTTTAGAACAAGCAATATTAATGTTGACTCAATGAGAAAAATCAATAATTTAAAAAATAATGTGTTAAAAGTCGAACGTATTCAAAAGACATTTGAAAATTTAAATTATTTTTAAGATAACATTGAAAATGCTAAAAACGATGCAAATATATCAATAACATATTTTTTTGGGTTTTCATTTTTTTTGCTATTTTGAATTTTTTTGAAAACTTATAAAAAAAAGGGTCAAAAATTGGGTAGCAGCATAACTTATGGCTTGTCTTATGAGGAGTTGTGAAATGTAGGAGAAACGCGAAATTCAATGAAATTCAATAATGTGTATATTTCTTAAAATAGTTATTGACCACCTTACACAAAAATGGTCAAATTATCTTAAACAGCTCTTCGAAGGTCATATTTAGGATGGTCACCATGCATATAATGTAGAAATAGTTGTCTTAAGAGAAGAGAGAGGGAAATGAAGGTAATTAAAGGTTTGTTAATTTAAACCATTGGTGAAAACTAGACAAATTCATCATCTTAATTCTAGAGAGGATTCGGGTTTAAAAATGATAAAATTTTAGAAAATTTTCTTTATATAAGTTATATCCAAGGATGTTATCTTTCCAAACAGTCTAACCTCATTTAATTTGGAGCTCTAAAACTCTAAATATAAATCAATATCTGATGAGATGTCAAGCTGCAATATCTGCAAGTAGTTTCAACAAGTTGTCAAAACAGGAAATTTAATCATGTTAGGGGTAGAATCAGGTTTCCTTCTCTTAGAAAATGTGTAATGTCATTTCTTAGCGTTTGAAAGGAAATAAGCCATATTCGAAACTAAATTTGTGATGTAGTTATGATTTTATAATGAACCATAATCTTAAGAGATGTAATGGCAACACAATTGTAAAAAGAAAGTAAATGTTGTTGTTGCTATTATTATTATGTGAAATATAACTTGAGTAAGAAATAATATAGTATGCTTATGGATTTAAGAGGGATTACGGGAGGGGCATAGTAGCACCAAAAGAGCGCAAGTCGAGGTTCTATAGTAGGTAGATGTCCTATATCTATACCTTTCTTAAATATCGTTAACCTTGGAAATCTATTTAATTTTTGGATAGTATACATGTTGATGTTGTCAAAAGGAGAATTGATTAGATAAAATAAATGAGAAATGAAAATAGATTGGATTAATTGGTTTGGTTAAAAATAGTAAACTATATTAGTGGACTTCATTGATAACTACTTCTTGATGTTGGTAAGGTTTATTAATATTGGCATGACCATCCTAAATAATGGGAGATATCAAACTTGATTAACTATTTAAATGAAAAATGGTTGATGGTTTGGAATTCTGCTTTGAGATGTAAATATAGTGGTAAATTTTAGTGTATAACACTTATTCTCCCCTCAAATAACCCATTAATGACTAATTTGCTTCTTAAATTAGGAGTTAATGGACATAAAGAGACTTTAATTTCTTTATCTATATTTATATTAATTAGTTTTCTTGGGATGATTTGAATTTTCAATTTTGGTCCCTTTAATTAGTAATTGTATCAATTAATTCTCCAAATTTTAAGCCAAAGAAATCAGATTAGTAGAAGCGTAACAGTTAGTTCATGTGAAATTATTAATTGAAAAATCCATGTGAATTATTATTTGTGATACACCTGGTTTATCATCTAAGATGTTACGCCAAACTAAAAATGAAAGCAAAATCAGGCTAGTAGAATTTTAACCAAGTTGGATAACTTTTCAAGCAATCAAAGTCCAATGTTTCAATCATTTTCCTAACTAAAAAATAAAATGCTTTATTTACTTACTAATTTTATACAACAAGGCGATAATATCATCAGACCTAGGAGGGCATAAAGGACGGAACTCTCACAAAGAAATCCTTCGACTAATTGAGCTCAGGTTAACGTTCCTGCACGAAGTGGATAAATACTCTTCCTAAATAAATAATCTTTCCACTGTTCAATTGTATTAAATGCTACTGAACCATAAAGGGGATGATGAAGCAGATGATTTGGTGGTGAAGGTACTACTCCATCACTTCCAACTTCTAACTCTTGGTTTCCAATGCCATGATCCCACTCTGCCTCTTCAAATGAATCCAAATCTACTATAACTTGGATCCCACATTGTTTCACATTAATGTCTTCGCCACCCAAATTCACATACAATTCCAACTCTTCGTGCCCACAACATTCTTCCATTGCCATCTCACTTAAACTTATGTATCCCATCCAGCTAATAGGGGAATAGAGTCCGACTACTTGTGTAGCTTCAAACAATTGAATACCGTTGCTCTTTTTTTTAATAATAGCATTGATTGTATGGCTACTACTCAAAAAAATCCTTGTACTGAAAGCCCAAAAAATCAACCCTTGGAAAACTGGAGGTGTATGAAATGATAATGAACATCCTTCTCCATGGTAGGTGAACCCCTTTGGCAACTTATTATAATAGATTCCCATAACCAATTTGGCATCATAGGAGCGAATATGATATCCATAACCACCATTGCACAATGCCTGCATATATTAGATTTCAAGGAATGCTGAAATTTTGGATAATATATATATATAGAGGGAGGGAGAGGGAGAGGGAGAGGGAGAGGGAGAGGGAGAGGGAGAGGGAGAGGGAGAGGGAGAGGGAGAGGGAGAGGGAGAGGGAGAGGGAGAGGGAGAGGGAGAGGGAGTATGTGCCAATTGTGTTTATTTTTATTTGTGTGCAAGAGAGACAGAAAAAGTACCTCAACAACACTCTTCTTCTTATTATTTGATAAATCGCAGGCGGTATCAGAGGAAATAATCCAGCCATGACTACGTAGACCTTCCATGCCCTGAATCTCTACTAAATTTGAACACCTATATAGAGACAGATTTTCATTTTTTTTTTTGACAGGACTGGCAGTCTTACTCTTTCCATTGATGTGCAACCGATTGCATCCAAGAATTTTAAATTTGAGGGAAGCTCTGAGATTGATTCAAGTTTGCCGCAATACGACACTCTCAATACTCGCAGCTTAGGAAGGACCCCGATGCCAGAAGGCAGACTGAAGAAATTGTTTCCTGATAGATTCAATTCTACGAGAGAGGACAAACAACCAAAATCAACAGAATTAGTTGCGCGTTCAGACAAACCATAATAAGCAAGTCTTAGTTTTCTCAATAATTTCCAACCAGTGAAGGAAGTTGGCAGCAAAGTTTCCCAATTTGGAATACTCGCTGATATCCAAGATGAAATTGGTGAAGGCCAGGATGTAGCTGATGGTGAGTCCAGATTGAAATTGTATCCGCACAATGACAACTTCCTTACATACTTTAAATGTTCAATTGAAGCTAAAAATTGCTCATTCTCTATTCCATCTGCAAACAGCTGAGTAAAGGACTCAATATCACCCATGCGCTCCGGCAACTTTTTAAGTTGTGAACACCCAGAAATATTCAAGCTTTCAAGAGACTTTACATCACAAATACTTTCAGGAAGAATCTTTAGCCTCCAACATCCCTTCATATTCAAGAAAACAAGGCTCTTTAAATGTCCAACAGATTGATGCAACTCAACTAAACTCGAGCAACCTTCAAGCATTAGTTTCTCTAAACTGGAACTGTGCAAGTTTGGTGTTTTAACAAGCTGCTTTGAATAACTGAGATTAAGGATTCTCAGCTTGTTGAGAATCTGTCAGAATAGCGAGGAAAATAACGTAAAGTAATAATGAAAAGCTATAACTAGAAAATATAAATTACACAATGCACAAATTTTAGGGGATTGTAGTCTGTTTCTTACCTTTTTTTGGTTCCATAGTTCTTTGATGTTACTATATTGCATATCAAGAACAACTACGTTGTCCAAAGTCAAATTGGATGGAAAATATTTCAAAGGGCACTCAAGCCAACAAATCCATATCAACTCTTCAGAAAGCAGTGTGAAGGGTCCAGTCAAATGTACTCCATTAATTTGCAGTAACTTCAAGCATCTCATCTTTTTAAATGATCTTGTGCTCACTGATTTATCTTCTGATGATCTCACATCCAGCACTATACCCTCTACAGCATTCGTTCCCTGAAAAAACATAAAAAAATCAATAGAACTTCCAAGTGATTGTACGCAAGAAGTTTAAAAAGAAAATAAACGTGCATCATTATGCTGTTGTGTATGCATTTATTTATTACCTTCTGTTTGCTGAGTACATTCCATGCATCCTCACATTGCCAAATTCGGCTGCGTTTTCCAGGGTGGTTAGGTGACTCTTTATGAACAATCTCCCTTCCCATGTCTCGTAATAGATCATGCATGCTTATCTTTCCAGAAGCATTAACTTTAATCAGAGACCTTTCACTGAGAGTTCCCAAATCATCTTCTGGATGATATCCACAACGAACCTCTAGTACATTTGCTACATATTCTTTATTTCTACCAATAAAAAAACATGCAATGTCAAGAAATGTATTTTTTAGTTTATGGTCATCCAGTTTGTCAAAACTTATTCGAAGTTTTTCCTGAATATCACGGTTTGGAATTTTTCTCAATTTGTCAATTACACATTTCCACCTAGATTTGTTTTTCCCGGACAAACAAGAACCTAAAACCTCAAGGGCTAAAGGAAGCCCTCCACAGTAATCAACTACATCATTCGAAACCTCAACATAATCTTTTGCTGGCTTGGTGTCCCTGAAGGCATGCCAACTGAAAAGCTGAAGGGACGCATCTCGTTTCAATTCTTCTACCTGATATGTTCGATCCACTTTAAGAAGCAAGCGTGCATCTTTAGTTGTAATTATTACTCTACTTCCGGGACCAAACCAACTTCGCTCTCCCATCATAGCATTTAGTTGTTTCTGATGAGCCACATCATCAAGAACAACTAGAACTCTTTTGTGACAAAGTCCTTCTTTGATCAGAACCATTCCTCTATCAACATTATCGATGTTAGCACCATTTTGTTTTAAGATATCACGAAGAAGTTGTTCTTGTAAAAGAACAACACCATTAGATTGTTCTGATGTATCATTGATATTTGAAAGAAAACAGCGTCCCTCGAATCCATAGCAGAGTTGATTAAATAAAACTTTTGCTATGGTCGTCTTTCCTATTCCTGGCATCCCATGTATGCCCACAATGCAAACCTCATCTGTTGCAGTACTTAGGAAGTCGCTAATAGTATGGACGAGGCGATCAATACCTACCAGGTTAGTAGCAACATTTATGTACTTGGGATCCAATTTATTCAACACATCCTTGATGATGTCTTGGATAAATTTTGATTCGTACCTGCTCATAGACAAAAGCAAATCTTTAATAGAGAGACAATTATGTATGCTAACTTTTTTATTGTTTCACATGGTAAAATCTAATGTATAATTACTCCATAAATGCGTGCAAGTGAATCTTAGAGAGAAATGTCATACCCATTTTCCATATCATTGAGATTCCATCCACTTAGATTTCCGGCTTCCTCAAGAGCTTTTCTCCATTCCTTCACCTTCTTTTTAAAACGTTCTTCATGTCTATCAAATGCTTTTGCAAAACTGCCGGTCTGTTTTCTCACTTCTGAAGGATGAATGTCATAGAATACAGGAAGAATAATCTGACCGGTTTTCCTCTTTTTGCACTCAAGAATCTCTACTAGTTCATTAAGACACCATCTAGAAGAAGCATATCCTTTTGAGAACACCACTATATATATCTTTGATTCTTGAATTGCCTTGAGGAGATGTTTGGAGATTTCTTCACCTCTAGGAATTTCATTATGATCTCGAAAAGTGTGGATTCCTGCTTGGACTAAGGCAGTATATAAATGATCTGTAAAATTCTTGCGATTATCTTCTCCTCTAAAACTCAAAAACACATCATAGGCCCCTTTTGGTCTAGATCGAGAAGACTCTGGCTCTGTCATGGCAGCTGCAGAAATTATAGCGCAATAAATTAGCAATGGAGCAAGGAGTGTATTTATAATAAATTAGCAATAGACAAATTTATTTCGAAGTGGTTTCGGACTGGTTGGATTTAGATTCTTGGGAGCTACTCAAGAAACTTTAACGTTCAACACTTATGATTCCATGATTGAAGTACTTGAGTCAGATATCTTTGAACAGGGATGTTTTTCGCTGAAGTCAGACCATGGATATGAGCAGACAGGGTTGTTGATAGGTTTGCATGGTTAATGTCTTAGGGTTATTATGTAATTGGGCTTAGATAACACGAGTGATTCTAAATAGTCCTATATAAATTTGCCATAATTAGACTAGGATTTATCTAAGATAAATTATATAGATAATTTAATAAATATATTTATGAATCAATGCAACAAGTCTAAGTTTAAAAAGAGAGTTTGTCATGCATAATCAAAATAATAATTCAAAATAGTCATAACTTTTGATTTGACTATGAATTTCTACTTCGAATATCAAATCTTTAGATTTTAAAAACCTTGTCTTGCGACCTTGATTTTGGTATTTTTTATAATTTTTCTTGATATTTTTAGATTTTATGCTATTTTAATATTTTATGCCTTATTTCTTTGTAATTTTGTATTCTTATTTTATTTCCTGAAGTAAGGTTTCTAGCCTATTTAATGTTTTCTAAACTTTTTAAGAAAGAAGACTTATTTATTATTATTCTATAGAAAATAAACTCTATAAACTTGGGATTTACATTAGCAGCTTTTTTGCTCATTAAAATTCTTGTATTTTTATTTTATTTTATTGTCTTCTGCTTCCGCCTGCATCAAGTTACCTTTGGCAGCATGGAACAAGGATTTTATTTATAATATCTTATCACATAAGGAATGGTCATTGGATATGATTTAAGTAGTGCTGGTCACGGCTACATTTCTGGAGCACGTGTATTACTTGTTACACCATCTATAGACTCATTGTATGACAGACTTCATTTGGTTTTAAATGGGGAGCAGTTTCATATAACAGAAGCAGAGATTGGACCTTCTTTCAGTATGAAATTCTCATCAATTCAACACTCCGAAGATTACACACTTGAATTAAAATCTGAGGATGAAGATGATTGTTATGTCACCCCATAACAATGACAAGGTTGATAGTGATGAATCTTAAGTTTGCAAGAGACCACAATTGGATGTTGTTGGTATCATTTATCACCAATGCTATTGGATTTGTTTTTAGAGATTATAGAGTCTGGAAGGTGTTAAAGAATAATATATATTATATATTAAAACTGTTAGGTGTGGACACAAGGTGTTAAAGAATAATATATATTATATATTGAAACTGTTAGGTGTGGACACAAATGGTTGGTGACAGCCATACTTGACATGGTAAGAGTCAAATGGTGGGTGCCTAACCAAAGAAAATGTTGCCCACCATTGTTAACCATAGGAAAGAGATTGTCTCTCACATCAGCTATAAATAGAGAGTGCCATTGATAGCTGATCACCACGAAATAGAGAGAAACACAAAGAGAGCTTAGAGTGAGAGTTGAGTTGAGTAGAGAAGTTTTTCTCCTCCTCCTTG